AAGGACAGACAGAGATGGATCTAGGGATGGGGCAGATGGACAGAAGGACAGACAGAGATGGATCTAGGGATGGGGCAGATGGACAGAAGGACAGACAGAGATGGATCTAGGGGTGGGGCAGATGGACAGAAGGACAGAGATGGATCTAGAGATGGGGTAGGTGGCTGGATGAACACATTAAATTAGTACCTGCTGTCCAGGTGGGGATGAAGAAGAGGATGCAGAGGACGGGGCTCAGGGCTGGCAGCTGCTCCATGGTCCCCGCTCTCTGGGCGGCTCCGTGCGGCCACCTCAGCTCAGCTTCAGCATCCTCCGCAAGTGTCAGCCCCAGGGGGCGGTGGAAAGTTTTGTGGTCAGCACTTCTGAGATGGCTGCAGCGAGAGGCCGGGGATGAGGGCCGGATGGGTATGTGTGTGTGTGTGTGTGTGTGTGTTTGAGCATGTGCTATTCACTGTGTTAGGGACTGGCTGGTGTGTGCGTGTGTGTGTGTGTGTGCGTGAATCCAACTGCTCCCTAGAATCAGCCGCATTCATCTGTGTCTCCTATCCCCTGTACTGCGTGTGACTGAGGAGGATTCCCCTTACTTAGACTGGGGCAGTTGGGGTGTTTAGAGCTGGGGCATCTGGTCTGATGCCCCGCCCGGCTGCCTGGCGCAGGGGGCAGCACAGCAGCAGCTGGCATCTCCTGGAGCATCCTGGCTTGGTGGTGGTCCCCAGGAGCAGCTCCCCGGCCAGGGCTGCGTCCTACCCTGGGCCACAAATCCCTGCTCTGCTCTCAAACCAGGGGGGCTGACGGGCGTGAATTCCCACCCTGGGTCGGCGATCCGGCCCTGTCAACTTTCCATGTCTTTTTCATCGGCTCTGTCACGAGACATTTCTAACCAGACATTGTCCTTAGCGCCACAACCTTGAATGGTTGGCCAACAGCTACACCACACTGCTGGCTAGCGATATTCGGAGGAGCTGTCAGGTTGCAGGTAGTTGTGATGGGGATTTGGGGTAATTTGGAGTCATTTTCCGTCCAAAACGACCCCGCCAAATTGTACGTGTGGCTGCGGGTGGGTAAAATCTTCCCCGTCAGCAGCTGCATTTCAGTCACCGCCCCCGGAGCCGCCCCCCATCTCCCTTTACCTCCGGGAAGTCATATTTTCTTGGATGACTTATCTCCGCTGGCTGAGACATGCCAACGTGCCATCGCTCCCACCCACTGCCGCGCCAATCACCCCCAGCTCGGGTGGCCAATTTTGGTTGGACGTATTCCTGGAGATTCCATCCCATGACATAACCCTTAATTAAAGATTAACCCTGAATTGCTGGAGACTCCAGGACAATGGTGGAAGATTGGCAACCCTAGGCCTCAGATGACAGCCTGGTTGTGGATAGGGGTGGGCGCAGAAGGGATGGCGCCTAGCGACTCAGAGTGAAGGTGTCCAGTGGTAGGTGGGCTCCCAGGAAGGGGTCTGAGAGTGGAGGGGCAGACGGGGCGATTGTGTTGAGGGGCTTTCTTGGGGTGTTGTTTTGTCCACTGACCCTGGTCGTTTCACGACCTGCTTTGGGTGTTAAATTTGACAAGGGGTGCTTGTGAATCTATCTGCAGCTGTGGGGAGAGAGTGAGGAGAGGTGGAGCTGGGGGGAGGGCTGGGTGTCAGGACTCCTGGGTTCTATCTTAGGTCTGGTTAAGTGTGGTCTAGCAGAAAAAGACTCCCAGCCCCCCTGACTCTAACCCACTAGTCCCCACTCCCCTCCCAGAGCTGGGAGAGAACCCAGGAGTCCAGACCCTTTGCCATCCTTCAGTTCAGGTCTGTGCACAGCCCATCTTTCTTGGGGGGGACCCATGAGGAGGGCATCCATTTGTTACTTGTACTTTCTGCAGTTTCTGTGGTGGGCTGAAACATGCCAAGTTGCTCGAGGCTCTGTCTTCACGTTCACTGCTGCGCCCCGTGGTGAGAAACAGGAAATTCAGCATCTTGCACGGCCGCAGCTTTTGCAAAGGTGGCAGCAGTTGGGGCTGGGGAGGGGGTGAGTTACAATCAGCTACAGAAGTGTCGGAGTCCGGGGCACATACGACGCACAAATAACTGACCACGGTTTCCGTCCTGTGAGCCGGAGGCGATCTCCAGGCGCTCAGTTTGCAGTGCCAAAAATGCTTTTAGCCCTCATGGGTGCAAAGAAATCTTTCCAGCCAGGGGCGGGTGGGACCCACGCCTGAGTCTGCAGAGAGCCTGAGCTGGTCGCTCTGAGAGGGGGGAGCTGCCTCATGTGTGATCCAGGCAGTGATGGGAGTGGCCTGGCTCGGGGTGAGGGGGTGAGGGTCTAACCTGCTACAATTTTACTTTCCACCCAAATTTCCAATTTCTCACCTTTTTCAGGAGAAAAACATTCACAAGACATATATATATTTCCGAGTGCAAAGAAAAGAAAATATGTTCCATAAATTGAACTACCAATGGGGTGAAGCTTGACAGGTATTTTTATATATATAACATTATTTTTCTCAAGAAAAATAATTATTTTCCATAAATGCAGCTAGCACTGGGGTGGAGCATAGCATGTCAGCTATTATATATAGATGTAAACACACACACACATATACGCAAATACACACACACACTTTTTGTCCACAAGAAAACACATCATTTACCATGATTTTTTTCTGAAAATATTTTTGCTAAAGAGAAACATTGTTCCCAAAGTATTTTCCTTTTTAAAATCATATCATTTTTGTCAACAAGAATAGTTCACAAAGATATTTTTTCTGTTGAAAGCCATTTCTGCACGGAAAGAACATTTCCCAGGAGAGAGTTTTCATTAAAAATGCTTTATTTAAAACATATTAAAATAAGATTTTATCACAAGCTCTTGTGCTCCAGAAATGTTTGACTGGATAGAACTGTTTTTAAATAAGCTAAGGGAAAACCTCCGGGCCAGATCCCAGCCGGTGTCAAGCGGCCGCACCTCCACTGAGCTCAGTTGGGCCAGGTACTGAGTTTCTGGAAATCCGTTCCATGGAAGTCAGAAGCGCTACGGCCGACTGATCCCAGCAGGGATCTGGCCCCATTGACTTGGAGGGAGCTACGGCCAATTGACTCCCTTGCTGCTTGTTTCTCCTGCGTTCGCTCTCGCCCCTGCAGTGTTCTCCTTGGGTTTCTGCGTCTTCTCCCTCTGCTGCTGGACGGGACCAGGACACTCTCCTGCTGCTCCGTCAGCTCTCCATTCGGCTGTCGGACGCATGGACCGCTCAGGGAAGCTTCTCTCTGCTTTTCTCTCCTTCTCCTCACTGTCCACGTGCTCTCCACCTACCCCTTGGCTGTCTGCTGACACACTGACTTTTATACCGACCTGTCAGGACTTTCTTGCGCATGACCACGGCCCACATTCCAAACGGTCCGTTCTAATTTTAGCCTGCAGCCGTGTTTACCTCAGAGTTATGACCTGCTGACCTTACCCCTACTTTGGTTTTCCCGCCAATTTGATTTTTTAGTGCTATGGGATCTGCAGACTCGAATGAGGGCCTGACTCTTGCTTAATTAAAATGGAAGCCAGGGATACACAATAGAGTCTGGGGAATTTCTCTGGTATCAGCATCATCCACTCAGGGTTTGACCTGCAAGTTATTGCACGTTGTTTCTCACGTTTAGCAAAAAGGGAAGCAGGTTAGAGGGTAGCATAAATAAGTCTCAAAATTCAGGGTCAAGAGTTCATCAGTTTCTGGTGCGTTTCTCAAGTGAGTTTGGTCTCCATATTTTTCAAAGGGGAAGTGTATTTGTTCCATGACTAGAGAGGAACTGACTGATTTGCGAACACTTCAGCTGTGTCTGTAACAACCTGACGTTCCAGGAGAGGGGAAGTGGAGGGGAGGCCAGGAGGCCACAGCTGTAGCTCAGAGTTTGAACGGTCTGACTCAGATGTATGGGAAGCCAGGGGCTGGGATTGGCTCCGCACTTCCTGGACCTGGGCTGAGAGATGGGCAGGAAGTTCCTCGGTCACTAGAAATCTGAATTTGAGCCTGCAGGGGAAGCTAATGTAAATTGTGGTGAATCAAAATTCTAGTGAAACCCTCCAGTGCCACTGGGTTATGGCCCCACTGGGGACTCATTTCCTGGGCTGCCGGCCCCATCCCGAAGCCATTCACCTTTCTTATTCCTCAGGCAGACGAGCAATCCCAGGCCCATGAAGACCAACCCCAGCACGGAGCCCCCGACCCCAGCCACCATCTTGCCCTGGGAGAGTCAGTCTGTGCTTCTGTGAAAACAAGAGCACGGGTGGTTTGGGCTCAGCCCAGCTTCTCCTTCCCTTTGTCACGTCCTCGCTCTCTGCCCCCGGGGTGGAGATGGGGATCTGACCCAGGCCCATCCCCTGAGGGGACTCCACAGAGCTAGGGGTGCCCTGTGGGCTGAGGGGTTGCCCCACACTCAGAGGCTCTTACCAGTGCACGGTGAGGGGGCCCCGCAGGCTGATGTGCTCCACCTGGCAGGTGTAGACGTCCCAGCGCCGGGGGGTCATCGCCAGCATCACCAGGATCTGGAAGGTCCAGTCTCTGTTGTGGAGCAGCTCCGTGGACACCACCCCGGCCGTCTGCTCCTGCCTGTTCTCGAACCACTTGATTTCAATCCCTGAGCGGTAAAACCCCATCACGGGGTCCCTCACACCTAGATCTGAAAGGTCCCTGCCCCGAGGAGCTGTCAGCCCCGCCCAGCCAGAAACTTGGAGCGGCCTCCCTGGCGCCCCGCGGGCCAGAGTGTTGTCCGGGCTCCGTGTGGGTAGCTGGGCCTATGTCCCACGGGGAACCCGCTTGCTACCCAGGCACCCCAGCTCAGCCTGGACACCCTGCCAGGACCCTCCTGGTTCCCCCACCCACGCCCACCCCCTTTGTGTACGTAGCTGTGTCTGACCCCTGCACCCAGACCCTGGCTCCTACAGCCCCCGGTGGGGTCCACTGGACAGCCCCTCCCTGAAGGGTTTATTGAACGGCACAGGCCAGCGCCGGCTCCCTGTGGATCCTGGACCCCCGCGATCCCACAGTGCCCCAAGTGTCCAACGTGCCCCCAACGTCCAGAGGGAGGAGAATCCCACCCCGGGCCCCGATCTCCCAGGGCCCCGATCCAGTCCTGCCCTTGGGGCCCTGAGCTCTGGAGCCGAGCACAGATCCAGCCCCAAGGTCCATGTCCCCAGGAGAGGGGCCGATCCCCATGCTGGGTCTGGGGCCGGTGCCGCTCCCTCAGGGCCTGGACTCCCCTGGTCCAACATCCTGGTAGCCCCTGGAAGGAGAGAGCAGAGGGGATGGGTTAGGGGGTGTAACGGACCCACCCCCACCCCAGAGAGGGGAGGACTCACCTGCGTCTGCTCCGCCACAGCACCACGGCCATGGCGGCTACGGCCACAACCCCCAGGGTGATGCCCACGACCAGGCCGGGGCCCCAGGGCCTGCTCTGCTCTGTAAAACAGGGGGTGCCGTGCTGGGAACGGGGACAGGAGTGTGGGCCCTGTTCCATCAGCCTTCCCCGCAGCCCCCTTCTGCTCTCCCCGCCCCCGACCCACTGCCTGCAGCCCTTCACCCTGATCCTGTTCCTTCAACATCCCCCGCAGTCTCCCCCGATCACCCCACCCCGACCCACTGCCCTCAGCTTTTGCCCTACCCAAAATCTCTTCTTTCAGCCTCCCCCACCATCCCATTCCCCTCGCTCCCCCTGCTGTCCCACCCCCTCAACTTCCCCCCATTCCAGTCCTGCTCCCCTCTGTCTCATCCCCTCCAGACCCTCTCCCTCTCCCCAACCCCCCGATCCTCTCCAGCACAGCCCCATTGTCTCCCCTGCCCCACTCCACACAGCTCTCTCTACCCTGTCCCATTCAGGCTCCCCTCAGCCCCTACCCTGCTCCCCCCATGCCAGTCGGGTCCCCCTCAGTTCCTCCACCCTGCTTCCCCCGGTCCATCCCCACACCCGCCGAAACCCTCGACCTCCCTCCGCCCCAATCCCGCTGCCTGGACCCACCCCTGTCTCACTGAGGATGTGCCGGAAAAGCCCTCAGAGACCACGACCCCCCCACCCCCCCTCCGGGGACGTGCACCTACCCCAGGGGACCAGCAGGCTCCGGCCCCCCAGGCTGCTGTGCTGCACCCGGCAGGCGTAGCTGTGCCCGGCACCCGGCTCCACGGCCAGGGAGCTGCGCAGCTGGTAGGTCAGGTCCGCGTTGGGCAGGATCCCGCTGGAGTTCAGCCACCAGCCCGGCCCCACCTCCTCCCCGTCCTGCAGCCAGGCCACGCGGACGGGCCGGGGGTAGAAACCGGTGACCCGGCAAACCAGCAGTACCGGCGCGGGGGTCCCGGCTGAGGGAGGCGCTCGGGCAAACACCACGGCGACCGGCCGCTCTGAGACAGGAGGAGAGAGACGGGGCGGGGGAGAGGGGACGATTCAGTCTGAGCCTCAGGGACTCACTAGCCAAGCCCAGCTCCATTCCCCGGGGTCAGGCGTTGGCCCCGCTGTCCTGGCCAGACCCCAATTCTGCCCCCTGCCGTTACCAGTGGTGACGGAACCCCCTTCACTTCCTGTCCTAAACTGCTGTGCAGTGCGGCTATGATATGGCTACTGTGCTGCACCCCAGATATAGCTGCATTTGTACACCAGGCAAGGGGGCCCTGGATAAACAGCCCTTGTGCCCCACCCCAGAGGTGGCTGCATCTCCACAAGCGGGGAGGGGTGTCCAGCCTCACCTTGCCTCTCCAGAGACTCTTTCCCATACTGGACAAAGCTCTTGATCAGATTGACACACGTCATTCTCAGGAGAAACTGAAGCGTGATGGCCACAACCCGGTTGTAGTTAAGAATCTCCTGGGCTTTGAGAGTCAGTTTATCCCCCTGGCGAGCGACCCATTTGCCGCTCTCCGTGTCAAAGCTGACAAAGTCCTCGCCGTTCATCCCAGCATCACAGAATCCCCTGGGAGTGCCATTGGGGTGGAGCTCGCAGCCCTCGGTGAACTGGGTAACAAAGGGGTCTGGAACAGGAAGGGCAGGGGGTCACCGGAATGGGGGGAGACGGCAGAAAGAGGGAGACACCCAGCGCAGACCCTGGGCTGAGCCGCTGGGCAGAGCCGTGCTGGGTTCTGTCCCATGCCCTGGGGCAGCGCTGGCTGGGAGGGTGGGGGAGGCATTAGCTCAGCTCTGCGTTTCCTGCCCATGTCTCAGTTTTCAGGTTCAGGCAGGACAGGTGGCACCTTGGGCAGCCTCCCCCCTCGTTTCCACTTCCCCCTCCTTCGACAAAGGCCTTGGGTAGGGCACATGAAAGACCATGAGCCTAGGGTCAGGGGCTGGGACATGGGGCCTTTCCCCTCTAGGGCGCACAGGCTACAATCCGGCCCCAGAGTGGGGGACTGGCTCAGTGGATGGAGAATGGGATGTGGGGCCTTTCCCCTCTAGGGGAAGCTGGCTCCATTCAGCCTAAGGGCCAGGGACTGGCTGTCTTGCCCCTGATCCACCCTATCAGGACACACTCAGTTGCTGTGGGGAGCGTGTCAGTTCTCAGCTCCCTGGTGGGTGCGGGAAGGGACCCCCCTCAGACTGCGCCATACTCACAGCCCTCTCCTTCTTGCTTAACCAGATCGTTCACCATACGGATGAAGTTGGACAGATTGTTATAGATCAACTTCTCCAGGTCCTGCCACTGCTTTGGGGTCAGGCCCTGCTGGGCCCAGGGCTGCAGGAAGCGGACCTTGCAGGTCCTGCAGTCCAGGGAGTGAGTCTCCAGGTCGCCCAGCAGGGCCGTCCCCTGCATGTCCGTGGAGCTGGCGTTGTGGAAGATGATGGTTTGGAGCAGCCGGAGAGTGAGAGACTCTGTGGGGACAGGAGGGGAGGCTGTGGGGAGGGGAGAGGAAACAAGTGGAGGATAAAGCAGTTGGGGAGAGAGATTAATGAGTCTCAGTCTCCTTAACACTCCCTGCTGACCCCTAACCCGTCTCCCCCCTCCTCCTACACCCCCAGCGAGGGTCACTAGCCCAGCGTGGTGCTGCCCCATCCTGGCATTACATCACACCCCCCAGTAGCAAAAAGGGAGGGGGGTCCCCACTTACCGTCCAGAGCCCCCCATGCCCAGGGCAGGAGCAGCAGAGGGAGCAGCATCCCGGCAGGGGAAACGGGCTCAGGGAGACGTCAGAGCAGCGGGACGAGGGGCCCAGGGCTGCACACATGTGCTCTTGGTTCCTCCCAGGGCGCAAACCTCTCTGCCAACTTCTCCCTTTGTCTGTGTCTGCTCAGCTCTGTCCCCGCAGCTGCCAGCCCTGAGCCAATGAGGGCAGAGTGAGTCGGGGAGCGGAGGCCGTGCGGGAGGGGATCCCCGGCAGCAAGAGCAGAACCAGGGCCTGTCCCGACTCCCAGTGTGTGTGACACGGCCCCTCCATCTCCTTCAGCCTGGGTACCACTGCTCCCAGGACAGCCCCTAGCGCCGCCCTGGCGCCATGGGGAGCCCTGACTGCCCGGGGAG